GGAAAGAGTTTCATTCATAACTCAAAACAAGCTTACTGCTCACAGTGACACAGCAGGCCATCTCCGAATATAAAAATATCTTGTGATAGACCCTGCCTTGGAATTCAGCCGAAATATGTTTCATACTCAAAGCGGAGAAGGATTCCATTTCGTTCACTGATAACTGTGGGAAAATGCTCAGAAAGGCAAGCAAAGCCGGGCAAGCTGGGGCACACACCCAGCCCTCTCCCATGAGTGGCCACAGGTCCAAACCCATTGTTGTTGTCGTCAATACTTTATTAGTGAAAGTTTCACCTTATCTACAGCCTCTGAGTTTCCTAGGAATTCCTATAAATTACAAGACTCTTCCCTGAGAGTAGCAAGAAATTATTTCTCTACTGATTTGAGGCAAGCCAAGTCAAAATGAGGCCAGATGTGGGACTGGTTCTGTATAATTAAGCCCTTCATTTGCTGGTCACGTTGAGACCCACGTTCTTCACTTCCACATATTGCTGTAATTAATCCTGATTAGATGTGTTGATACCCAGAGTTTTGACAGACTTGTATAACTGCTAAACACATAATACCTCCAAGAACCACTGAGAGGGATGGCATCCCAGGACTGAGCAGGTGTGGCAACATTAACTCTGCTTCATGCTCAAAAAAGAAGGCATCCTTGGTCTTGCACTTGGAAGACCAAGCTGTCTATCGGCCTTATCCTCTCCAGGATAGGAAAGGCCTCAGAAGCTGCTGACCAACACTGCCCCTCCGGAGGAAGAGAGTGGCACAGAGCTCTAGATGCTGTGTGTCATGATTTTCCATAAACTGCCTTCTTGAAGGTAGATATGGGATGATAGCTGCTTGAATGCAGGGTTGGCAAAAAAAAGCTCTGCCAAAAAAATAGAGTCCTGGACCTTCTCTTCCCTTGTTTCAGAGAAGGGTTTATGGTTCTAGGACTCACCTCCTGGGTCATGAGGATTTCTCCTGCCCAACCTTCAGAGAAAAGGATTCCCTTTCAAGGCCTCTATTAGGAGGCACTCTTACCACCCACTCCATCCCCACTATAGATTGACAATCAAGATAATTTGACAATGATTATTAGTTGCTAGGAAACTTTAATTTTTCCCAGGCCCACGCTTGACCTCTGTGCATCCCAGAATACACATCTAGACTCCAAGATTCATACCAGGCACACCTTATGCCAAAGTGTGGTAACAAGTTGAAAAATTAGCGATCTGCTATGATCACGTAACACCCAATTAGCCACTGCAAATCTGACCCCAGCAAAGTCCCCAAGCCCTCCAAAGGTCTTGGACAGGGGTACCAGGCAAGGAGAGGGGTGAGTTTAATGAGTTCAAATCCAAAACTCACACAAAAAATAAACAGCAAAATACCTGAATTTTCTTGGTTTTAGACTATAAGGCTCTTATAAAACTGTCACCCGCCTTTCAACTTTTTTCCCCTTAAGTTTGCCCAGAAAAATGACCTGGGCACAAAGCATGAGGGGTGTGAGGCTAATAGACCTTCAGTCTAAGTTTGCAGAGTGAATCATTTCTGCCTCTTCCCAGCTCTAGGCCCAAGGAAATCTGGCTGCGACATAGTGGCAGTTCTCATTCTCATGCAGCAGGAAGGAGGAATGGTCAGCTTACAGATGAACTTTGGGGAGGACCGCCATGGAATTTTACCTTGGAGGGTCCTGGCATCCAAGCCCAAGGCATCCCAGGGCCACAGGGACCCCCCAGCACCTCCTTCCTGCTTTCAGCACTGAGGCCGTGGGAGGGCTATGGGCTGCGCCCATCCCACTCCATGGTGGTTACCTTGGCACCAGGCAGAGTGGTAAGCACTTAATTGCCACATTAAGAAGGGGGATGTAAGAAACAAAGGTAATTGTGTTGGCAGCTGGGAGCTTCCTTTTCCTGGCAACAGTGGCAGCCAAACCAAGCCCTGAGAAGTGGCTGCCTCCACTCCTGCCAAGCTGACGGACACAAACAAACCACCATCCAAACGGCACGCGTGCAGCATCCAAAACCCCAGGCTGCTGCGACAGGCGGACCCGAGGAACTCACACCCTGGGAATGCCCCATGTGCCCACGGGGCTATTGTACAGAGGCACTCAGCCCCGGGTTTGTCTGGGGCCCTGTACTCTGCTGACTCAACTGTCGCTTCCTGTTGCTGGCCCTGTATTAGCATTATTTTTGGAGAGGCCACATTATTCTCTGTAATCCTCATTTCAGTCAGTTCGGCCACACTATTGTCCTGCCTGCGTCTGGGTGGCCAGAGTATAAAATATTCCAGTCACAAACATTAAATAAAGGTGTCAGAGATTCCATGTGTGGGCACACGCTCGCACAACCAATTCACGTATCGTGGAGCTTTGGCCAGGTGAGACATGGAGAAAGGATGATTACCCCACAGCATCCAAGCTAAGAAGACTTTTAGTTATAGAAAGCCAGTTAGTCTGCAGGGCTTGACATTTCAATCAAGTCTGATCTGGTTACAAAGGGTGACTTTCTCATGAAAGCTCACCTCACTCACTCACCAAGAGGGCCACAGAGCTCATATCCAGATTTGAGACTCAATGAGCCCCCACCCCCTTTCTCATCATTACCCTTACCTGTTTGAAAAGCATCCCACTGATAATTAAATGCACCAGTTACAAAAGGGTGGCAAGGTTAATAGATAGAATACCAAGAAGCCAGCCAAGCACAACTGTTGGTTCACACCGAGCAAGCCTGAACAAGAAGCCTTTCTACTTATTTACCAAAAGTGCATAAAAACTGGGCTGAGCTAGTAGAGGGCTCTGAATGTTTGACTATTTACGTACCACTCCTAACCACTGGGAGCTATGTTGTGGAATTTCTTCCCTGCACATGCACTGCGCCAGTGACAAATGTCACTGGCACTATAAAAATAAGGGCTATAGGGTAAGGCAGTCCATACAGTGATCAGAAACCAGAAAAGTCACAACAGGACCACTCAGCTCCCAGGCGGGACATTCTGAACCCAGAACCCTACCCCACCCCTACCATTCTAGAAAACACAAGAATCACTTTCCACGCATCCTAATATATCTTCCTAAAGTTGAAAAATAGTTTAAGTTTTGTTCTAATTTGTTAAACGTATTTAAAAGCTGGAGCCAAGTGTCTCTTTCCTCGGGTCAGAACCTAACCTAGGAGTTGTTGCGAGGGTAGGAACATACCTCCAAAAGCCCACCAAGGAGGAATTCTTAGAAATATTTGCCTTTACGGATTACCGTGCTAATTGTATGTACATCCAGAGATTATGCATTCTGACATTGTAACTAATCTTGAAAGTCTGACAATGGAACCAAGTTCTGGCCCTTCTACAATGGGCCAGTGGCTGCTATGAATCCAGCCAAGGTCTCTGTTTGCATTCCTGTCTTCAGACCAAGACCATGAAGGCTCCTTGTTGCCTTGGCTTTGTTTTATCATACATAACAGTTTTCCTTCACGCTATACCTTCCACTTGCCTTGTATCAAAAGGATCCCTTACCATTCTTAGTTGTAAAGATTTTAGGCAGTATTCGGGTCACTGGTCTTCTGGGAGGCTACACACCTGAGTGGTTGCTGCCTCTTCTCACTCATCCAATTCCCTGAACGGCCTTGATGCCAAAAGCTTCACTGTTCTCTAAAAATGTTCGAAGTCCCTGGTAGAATTATGTGTGGGGAGTTGGTGGGTTGCAAACTCATGCGAATACTGGAGGTTTGAATAATTTGCTAAGAAACAAGACAACAAGGAGGAAGAAACACAGAAGATTATACTTGATAGAGAAAAAATATTAGAAGCCAAGTATCCGAATAAGGATTCCATTTGGAAGCAGCCATGCTGCAGACACTTGGTGCAAAGTGAGCACAGCTCTACTTTTCCCCCAAGGCTGGTTTTGCAATGCAGACATGTCATTTCATTGCTTTCCTCTGAGGCAGGTATCTTAGGGCAAAGGGTGTTTTTCTCCACGCACAGAAAGTCCCTTGCTCTGAGCACGTACACACATGTGTTTGTTTGCATGCATTCTGACCACATGGGTTCCACATACTAGCTGCAGAAATGAGCCAGCCTGAATGAGGACACCATCCCTCTGCCCTCCACGCGTCCACATCTGTAAAGGCTTAGGGACCAGGAAACAGAAGGCAAAGGCAAGGACTTGTCAATTATATTGTGATTAACCTTATGGCATCCAATTTACCCAAAACCCTGGCAGTTGCTCATCCAGGCCTTAAGAGTGAAGGAAGCCAAAGCTGGCACCCCTCTGGTATGCAACAATCACACTTCATTGGATTTTCCTAAAAAAGTAAGTTGATCTCAAGCAAGCCTTTTATCAGTGTCAATGACATTTAAATACGAGGCTGAGAGACCAGAACCCTCGATTGCTTCCCCAAAAGTTTTTCTAGATTCATTTCGATCTAGGGCCAGCAATACATCACTATAGTTAACCAGAATTCTGAGTTCCTAAAAAGCTTTTGGGTCTGGGTAGTGGTAATTATACTAAGGTATTTTTAATAAGCAGGCACTACTGGGATTTAGCACTAAATTTGGAAGGGGCAATGTAACGATTTCAGTGATTTATAAATGGTTATTCACAAATTATTTACCATTGAGCCCAATTACCTCACTATGTATATTACCATGGGTCCCCAGATGCAAAGATCATAAATCAGGCTAGCTGCTTTAAGTCAATCCCCTCGGAGCAGCATTGGTATGGGACTTAGAAGCCACCAATGAAAAGTACCACAAGCCTGGGACAGTAGACACTAAGTGGGACACAATCCGATACTATCCAGCATACAGTCCCACCTCTACAGAGCTGCCCACATGGACACTGGGATGTGGATTATACTTCATATCTGACCAAACCATTTCCTCCTCTTCCTCTCCAGACATGAACAGTTGTTTAACTGGGGAATAATTTCAAATAAGACATGAATTACATGACCTTGTAAACTGACCTTCTACAGTGCCCTCTGAACCACAGCTCTTCCACTGTCAACTAACAGAAATTGTGGCTGCTAGGGGGTTGGGAGTTCAGGTGGCCAGAAGTTCAAGGTTTGATTTTTTTCAAGCTATATATCCTGTATATCTCGAATTCTGTACCAAGTTCACTTATTAGCTATTCAAAGAAATCACTTTGAAATAGACACACTTATTAATATTTAATTACCAAACTGAATTTAATTGTGCTTATTTACTTCCGTACTTATTTGGCTACCTAGATACTTTCACTTCAGTTAATACCCTGGAATCATTCTTGAAAGTTACCGACTAGTGTTTATCCAATCACACTTAAGAAAATTAAAACAATACACCTAAACTCTGGTTTCTCTCGGGAAATAAAGCTTATATTTCACAGCAGGCCTTTTTGGGGCGGCAGGGTGGAGACTTGTTTATGAGTGATACATGCATTTGGCCCAACTTCAAAAGAACCACACTCTCGGTGTAGCCCCTGCGGTCTTCCCCATTCTAGAAAGTCTATTTCATGGTTGGTGACCCGTGGGCCTAAAACCACAGAAGAGCACCAGCAAATCAATCATCTCTTTGCCCTCACACGCTGCTTCCGCTCCTTCCCCATCCAGAACTCTGCCAAGTGTCAAAAGGGGACAGACACACCTTCTAGGTCACTTTCCCCAGCCAGCCTGGAGAACAAGGCTACCTGTTTTTACCCATGCAGTTCTCTGACCCTACTCTTCAAAATGAACCTCAGTAAGGCTTGCTGCTTTTCCACATCACTAATAAGATTCCTTTTATGGTCTTGTAGAAAGCAAGGGGCTCCAGGACTTATCCTCAGCAGGGTGGAACCACCTGCAGGCCCATTCCCCCTAAATTCCACACACACATTCAAGGGCAATCAGCATTCAGACAACTTGGGCACAGCCAAATTAAAACTTTGGCGAACCTCTTTAGCTTAAAGTTCTAATAGGGGATTAACAAACAAGATAAACACGCTTTGTAAAAATGAAATCCCACAACAGAAGCAGCCCTCCATTCTCAGAACTCCACATACGACAGGTTTTTATAAGACGCTTTTAATGGCGAGTTTCTGATAACCGTCTTATCCCCCCGCCTCCCGCCGCCCCCCACAGCAGAGGGCACTTTATAACGTCAGTTCCTGTAAACGTGGGCCTTTTCCTTCACCACAAGCTTCACACACACACACACACACACACACCACGGAAGACATTCTCTCCTGCCCTCCCCAAATTAGGAATCACAGTCCCAGCCCGCGGATAGGAGGCAGCAGAGTGCACCCTATCAGAGCACGTGGTGGAGAGTATTCCCCGCGGCACTGAGCTCCCATCACCACCCACCCCCTAGCACAGGCTAGGCCAAGCCCCAAGGCTGGCAATGAGTCACGCCTCCTGGACAACAGGAGCGGGGCAGAGGGCACCAACATTTTCCCCTTTCCTCCCCTTCTGCAATCGCACCCATCTTCCTTCCACCCATTTCTGGATGTTGCAAGGGCCTTGCTGCAGGGTCTGCCAGCGGGGGCCCAGGCCTCAAGTGACTCTAGGGCGGGGGTCCATTCACTTGCACCCCCAAGGACTGCCTCTAGCGGGCCACCCCTTCCAGGCGCTGGCACGCCCCCGAAGGCTTGCGGGGGCTGTGCGCCCTCCGGACGAGGGTGCACCCCCGCCCTTCCCGGGGAAGTTTGCAAACACAGCTGTTCCAGAGCCCGGGAACCGCTGGAAGTGAGGCCACAAGGCTACACCACGCGGGGGCGAGGGCAGGAAGGGACCGACAGGGGGCGGAGGCTCCCAGGGCAGCAGTTGAGAAGGCTGCGAGACCCCCCCCCCTCCCGCGGACGCCCCCACGCCCTTGCGCCTAGCCCGGAGCGCACCCCCGCACGCACCAAAATCTCCTGGGGAGCAGCGGGAAACGGGTTCCATCCACACCCTCCAGGAAGGACACGCCCGCCCTCCCGGCCGTTCTCGGGAAAGGGGAGGGTGCCAATTTGAACGGCGTTCGAAGGCCAAAACTGAGCCGAGCAGCCTTCCACGGCGCATCAGGTTCAGTTGGTTTAGCAAAGATCATCTGTAATGATCTCCTGGCTCAGGGAGTTACTCTGGGGCCTTCAAGTTGAAAGTTAAACCCGTTTTCCGGGGAGCTTTGCTCCATAACATCTGGGGTTCCCACTTTTGTGCGCTTAGCAAAAAGCGGCGGGGATGGGGCCTGCTGAGGGTCGCTCCCTAAAACCCCACCCTAAAGAACTTTCCTAGTTAGCGCCGCGTTTCGAACCAAGACGCTTATATTCCTCTCGCAAGAGAGAGCAGGGCTCGGCAGGCGCGGGTGCGAATTTCGGCTCGGCCTCTCTCCCTGCGTGGGTCACTCACCGGCCAGGCGAAACTGAAAGGCAGAATGATACGGTTGCGTTCATTGCCGCGGCTAGTCTTGAGGTTGAAGGTGTTGCCCCCGATAACAGGAGTGGACCCGGAGCCGAAGCTACAGGGACCCCCGGCCGTGACGCGGGACTGGTACTCCTTGAGGCACACTTTGAAGTACGTGTCACACTCGTCGCGGGTGCATTTTCGGTCCCCTGGGTTCCGGGCGCCGCCGCAGCAGTTCCCGTTCTGCAGCTCCCCGTTCACGTTCTGCATGGACAGGATCTCCAACTCGAACTGGCCGGAGGCCCCGCACACCTGCCGGCGAGGGAGGGCGATCAGCACCGGGGAAAGTTTTCTTCCAGACGACTCCCTCCCCGCCCACCCCGAGGAGCCCTCGACGCCAAGTGAAAATAATTTTGCAAAACTGGGTGCAAGGACTCAACGTGATTCCCGGGCAGAGAATGCACGAATGCGGGAGAAATCCGACGATTGCCCCGGAAGACCAAGAGCGGAGCGAACGCGCCCCCTGCCCAGCTTAGAGGATACATTTAGGAGGCCGGGGTCTCCCCAGCCCAGGTGCAGCCTCTCCAGCGCAGGGGCCGAGCCGGGAAGCTCAGCGACCGAGGGCTCCTGACCCCGCTAGCGGCACTCAACCGCAGGCGTCCAGGGCGCCACGAGGGAAAGGAGAGGGCGGGCCGGGAGGGAGGCCCAGCGGGCTCCTACCTTGGCTCGCAGGGCGCAGAGCAGGGCGA